TGTTGCATGCCCTTAGTGTTTTGTGTCCGTGTGGTGGGGTCAGGTTGGGCACAATAAATGCCACACTGTGTCTCAAATGTTGTCCTCTGTAGGGCTATGGGTCAGTGAGGGATGCTGTGTCTCATAGTGGGGCCAGCCTTATGGCCCTCTCTGTGCATTAGTTGCTCTGAGCAGGGATATCGTACTCAAGGCTTGGAGGGCCAGGATGTGCTCCACTCTCTCTTCCTCTCCCTTCATTTGCTCCCATGTGCTCTGATCAGACATGTTCCCCTCCTGGAGCTGGAGCTTCAGTGCTGTCCTCTGAAGTAGATTCTTCTGGGGGGAGTGGCGGCTATCCACACAGTTGGGATTGGGGACAGCCTCTCAGACCTCTCTGTTGGTTCCCTGCTTCATGCCAGTTTGTTGCATTCACATCTTGTAGCACTGGGTTGAAGTCTGGTCCCTCTTTTCCTGTGGAGATATAAACAATACCCTCCCCTTGGTGGGTGAGTTAGTAGGACTTTACTTTCTTAGTTTGTCTATAAATGTCCTTTTACTGTTGCAGGATGCAATCCACTCCCAAATACAATGCGACATTTAGTTGTCTTGTATTGAGGGTTTTTAAAATGTGAGTGAACAATGTGAGATTTAAGGACTGAAATTTCATCTTTAGACTTCTCATCCACAACAGCATGCATTGGGTCAGATCACTCTCCCATCACATCACTCTCCCATCACCCTCATTCTACATGAGCGGGTTACTGTGTCAGAAATTATCAAAAGGGAGCCAGCCTAGTGTGCTGTGTCAGCCTCTACAGTGTGTAGCCAAGAATACGCTTGGTAATGAGCAGTTAGGGTTCTTTGTCAAGAGGACAGTATGCCTGTGGTAGAGACACATTAGAGACACATTATAAGGAGACTTGGTGAATTTCATCTGCTTTAACATATAAATACCACTGTAATTCGTGAAGACTGGCAGTCTTCCAATCACAGAAAGCCCCTGGAGCCCCTTAGGGACTGAATGAAGCATATTGGGAACCCAGTGGGGATGGCTGGCACTTTTGTTTATTGTCCACACCTTCAGTCAATCATGGCTGCACACTTGGGCAGTCTCAGGTCACACATCTAGGGTAGCTGGTGCCATGCCTTTCTACACTGCTCAGCACAGCGGTCAGTCCCTCTGGGTTCTGAAGTAGCCACCATCCACTTTGAGTCAGTAAAGGGTTAGACTTATGTGGGAAAGGATTAGGCCAAGCCTTAGAAGGAAGGTAAAAAAGGTAAATTGCCAACATCCAGGAAAAATAGGGCTTAAGGTTGAGATGTAAAGTGTGTCAGAGAGAAATAGTTGTGTGACAGGCAGCTCGGGTCTGGTGAGGAACCAATACTTCCTTTCCTATCTTTGAAAAACTGTCTTGTAAACCAGGGACCGGCAAGAGGTTGGCAAAGGGAATTCAGAATTGTCTCAATGAGAAAAATAGTGTTCTAAGAGTTAGCATTTTCTAAGGGTACAGTGTATGAGTTTCATGTGAACTGGGGGGGCTGAGACCAAATGTAGATCACTACGCGCTTGTTGAGCATACTGTCTGTTCAGCACGAAGATGGGGACAATGGATTGTATCTCATAACTAACCATCTTGTAAGTTGAAGCATCAAATGAAGGACTTTGTTAGAGAAGCATTTAAGGTGCCTCCAGCTGAGATTCCATGAGGGTTTGCTTCTAGGGATTTAGCACAGTTCGATGAATGGTGCAGCCTTACTTGATTGGTATGGTTGAAAATCCTAGGCCGTCTCATCTGACCCTGAATTTTCTATTCAAAGGTACCCCCCAGAAATACCTGAATGACTACCCGTGACCAGTTGTTCTGTGAGGCAGAGGATTTAAAATGTTTATATAGATAGGTCTCTTAAGTTTTAATTGAGGGAGAAAATTTTGCTGTCAGCCTTGTGAGATGACTACAATAGCTAAAAATCCTGCTGTTCAGCAGTATGTTTGTCAGAGGATTTAAAATTGTCCAACTAAGGTGTAAGCAGAAAACTGCTGACCATGTGAAGCCGAAGGCAGATCCTTCTGAACTGTGACTCACCCCTAGGAATGAGCACCGAGTCGGGTTCTCCTAAAGTGACACACCCAGCGTGATGTTTTAATCCTGTTTTCTTTGTTTTGGGGTTTTTAACTAAGCAACACAGTGAATCTTGTTTTCAAAGGAGCTTTTAGACTAGCAGTAAAACTACACAAAGTGGAAAAGGCATTGTCTCTTAACAAAACCAGTTGGGAAAAAAAATTTTTTTGAAAGTAGAAAATGTATAATTTTTATTAATCAAGAGATGTTTTAAAAAATAAAGAAATATGTTCATATCAATTTTTACGAAAACCCAAGTGGAGAAAACCGTTTAATGAGGGCATGGCCCTGAAGAAACTTTGGAATTTGACGTCAGCAAATATGACTCCAAAAGAGAAGGGCACCCGCCTGCAACGGGAGTGAAGTCTTACTTGTCTAGCTCTCTCTGTGGCCCGTCTCTGATGACCAGGAACACACTTCCACTGAAGCGCCACACCTGGGGAAGCTTGATCAGTTTTCTCAAAATCACTTCTATTGACAACATTTCTTCCAGAGGCTGTTTCTCATCCATTTTGTTTCCAGTTCCCACTCCATTCTGTCACCCTTTGATGACAAAGTTGCTATCCGTTTTAATGATGCGTTTATCCATATTTTGACTTTCCATGTTCAATTGCTTTGGGAGCTGCCCTCAGTTCTGCTGTTTGATTTGTCTGTCTTCCAGAAAGCCTCTCACTTACATTCAGTGGGTGGTTATGTCCCAGCAGACTCCGGATGCAGCTGTGCACCACATCTCGCATTATTGCTGCAGCTACCACCAGAGTAAATGATTGGAATGTGTTCTCTGCCCCAGCCAAAGTTCAGTCCTTGTTGGTCCCCAGAACTCATGTTGGATTTTTCACTGAGGTCAACACTTTCTTAGTCCCGGTCATCTTCAATTCAGCAGAAAATTCTTTAGTAATTAACAAAAGAAGGCATAACTAGTAAACACAACTCATATATAAAATGGCTTGCAAGATTAGAAAAGTCAGCAGCAGAAAACTGTGCAGGCTTTTAATGAAAAGCACAACAGCCCATGCAATGGTTGATTTGTTGCAAATATAGAATAGATGTTGGATGGATCACTTCAGAACGTAATACTTCAAATTAAAGTTCATGCTGTAGACAAAGTGAAGTCATGACAGATGTGAAACAGCATGATGCGTGGAATGTAGAATTATGTTCTTTATATCAGAAGAACACACATGCAATGGGACCATTGTCTTTTTTTTTTCTTTTCATTATTTATTAGGTGAAAGTTTACAGAGCAGATCATTAGTTTTACACTCAATAATTCATTTTGTTTCTATTCATCCTCTCACTGTACCATTATTTATTCCAGTTCTGCCCTGCCACTGTCTCTGCTGCCATCTCTGCTGCCACGGCCCTTCTACTCAAGAGTCTCAGGGTCCAAGGGGCATGCTGTGCTTCTGGCTCACTTTATACCCAGCCGACTGGCAAAACTGAGTAGTCCCCACATTTGCATAGTCCAACCCAATCATTTAGTGGGCGTTACAAGGACAGGTTGGACAAGCTATACCAAGTAATTTTCACTTCATTGCAATTATGTTCATATAGTAGAACTTATTAAACAATTCCACAGCTTTCATACTTCATTAGTACCCGTTGTGTATAACTTTGCGAGAACACTTTGACCAGCTATGTATGACTCACTGGGACTTCACTAGGGTTATGTGGGTGGCATCACTAATTTTGTTTTTGTTTTGCTATTTGTAGCTAGAGCATGATAAACTAAAAGGATTTTAATTTGTATATTTTTTTATTGGATCTAAGGAATAAATGTTTAAATAGGATGAGGTTCCACCAGGAGTTGCAGTGATTATGTTTAAGTCCACAGCAGCAAAGGAACGTTGATATTATTGATTAAGTAACAAATGAAAGATTCAAGTATACTCAGCAGTCTTACTGAATAGTACAATAACCATAACTGTACTTTGAACAGTGTAAATTCGCACCGTCAGTTGAATGAGTTTTGCATTTCCTAATCTCTTTTTCTTGACCCCTGCAAATTCTGTTCCTTATGCCACTGAGGATTGGTTGTGTCTTGAGAACTATGTCCCTTTGTCTTCACGTTGTAGTTCATCAATCAGTTACTCGGAGTGGTCCCTTTGTCAGCGCCCACAGAGGAGAAGTTGGCACTGCCTGCTGACATCAAGGCTCTGCAGCAGCATTTGTGTGTGATTCAACTGACAAGGTTGCTTGGCTTGTACCACACTATGGACAAAAGTCAGAAATTGAATGTAGTCAGAGAATTGATGCTCAGGTACCAGCATGGACTAGAATTTGGTGAGCAATCTTTCAAAATGTGCTTTAATTCTCTGATCTGCTAACACTTAGAAGTCTGTTTTTCGTTTTCTTTTTTCCTTTTAAATTTAAAAATGTAGTTGTGTAGCTATCACCAGTTTTCAAATGTTGTTATCACCCCAAAGGAGATCCCATGCCCATTAGCTAACACTCCTGCCCAGCCCTAGTCAATCACTGATCTGCCCTATGTCTCTGTCATCAGTTTGTCTGTTCTTAGAGATTTTAAGTAAATGGCACCATGACATACATCTTCTTATGACTGACTGAACACCATGATTAATGTTGCTTGGTTTTGCAGTATATAAGTGGAATCATGTGAAAGAGGTAAAGATTTTCCATGTTATTCAGTGCCAAGAAGTGTTCATTGCTCCACTACTAGCCACAATGTGGGCAATTCCAACTCACCTAGAAGTACGTGGAAAGACAGGTCTGGGTGACTGCTTTTGAAATCTCTACAAAGCAGTATGCTCCATAAATGTGGAATGCCCTGAGTTACGGCTACTGACAACACTGACAGCCTAATGCTTGAGAATATGCGAGGAGACTAGAATCTTACGCACTTCAAGTAAGGCCGTCTGTCAGAAAGCAACCTGCATTAAATGTGCAAAACCTTTGCCGAAGGTTCCCCCACCCCTTTTATAAATTGTTGTATTGTGAGCTAATACAGATACCATACCATTCCATAATTCAGTCACATCATGCAGTATTGTATAATTGCTACCACAGTCTGTTTCTAAACATTTTCTTCCTTCTTGAACTCCTTGATATCAACTCCCCATAGAAGTCCATTTTTATAGCACACTCATAGCACCTTGTTTTAATGAGCTTGGCAAGGAGCCCAGTCAAGTTAGAAGACCATCCAAGTAATATGATGTAACACTTTTCTGAAACATTTCTGAGCTTTAAATATTTGTAGTTGGTTAACAGGTGGCCATATTCTTGATTTGGTGAGCTTAACTGTTACTGCATTGAGACTCAAGTGGGTAACAAGTGCTAACAAGTTGGCAGTTCAAAAGTATCACCAACTATTCCATGGAGAAAAGATGAGGCTTTCTACTCCTGTAAAGGGTTACTGTCTCAGACACTCATAGGGGAAATTCTGCTCTGTCCTATAGAGTCAGTATGAGCAGTAAGTTTGAGTTTGAGCTTATGATGCTGATTGTTATATTTTTTCTCTATAGGTCTTACTATTTTTAATCTATAGACAATATAAGAGGAGTTTAGAATTGAAGACCTTCAGAGTGAGATGGCTTTTATTACATATATATGATAGAAATATAAATAATTTCAATAGACGTCTATATTTATCTAACCTAAAAAAATAAGATTCCCTCCTAGAAAATATGGTAAACTCTAGAGGATAATATTAATTAAATTATACATGCCTTTGGCTTATTTTCTTAAACTGACTCCTTCCAAATCTTCCCTTTTTTGGAACTTGTTCTGGAATGAACCTTCTGTCTCTGGCTTTTGAGCCCTTTGATTTATAGCTTACACTCCCATTCCTCAGTTATCAAAATGGTTAGATCCCAAAGACCAGGTCTTTATACCAAAGTTGGTGTAAAAATGAAAGATGGCTACATCATTGCATAACTGCCAGACCCCTGAGAATCGTGGCCCAGCTCAGTTGACATATGACCTTAGCCATCACAGCCAGCCTTTGTCTCACTCTGGCATTCATGACTGCCAGACGTGCATCATCAACGTGCAAAGTAATAATCCGATAGCCAGTTTTTTACTACCGTCATTAATGTAAAGCGTTGGGTAACAAGAGGGTCAATAAGTGAGACACTTACCCGGTTTTCTTATTTTCTTTTCCTCTTCTCCCATTTCTTTCTTGCTTTAAAACACTCCTTGGGAACATTAATAGTTAAACAAATTTAAAATGCCAATATGGTTTCTTTAATTCCCTGTAGGCAAGTCCTGTTTGAAAACCGAACTACAGTTTTCAGACTACTATTGTCTCCTTGCTGTCCATGTGCTTATTGATATATGGAGAGAAACCGGTAAGTAGCAGTAGTTTATTTTCTTTTAATAGATAATTTTATTGGGGGCTCTTGCAGCTCTTATAACAATCTATACATCAGTTGTATCAAACACATTTGTACGTATCTTGCCATCATCATTTTCAAAACATTTTCTTTCTACTTGAGCCCTTGGTATCAGCTCCTTTTTATCCCCTCCCTCCCCCACTCTCATTAACCGTTGAT